GGGTTAAGTTGACAATACTGATTTATGAGAAATTATTCTCTTAAACTTTCTTATTTTTGTGATCATAGTTTTGTCTCTTATATATATATATATATATATATATATATAAAGTCAAATTATAAGAAACTGTTCTCACCATCTTTCTTGCTTCCAAGATTACAATTGTGAGAAACCCTTCTACTCATGTTTCTTATTTCCAAGAGTGCAATCAAATCTACCTTGGGTATAAAGTTGTATGAGAAACTCTTCTCTATACCTTTCTTGTTTTGAGATCACAACTAGAGCTCCCATGAGTATATATATATATATACATGTCATGTCGGACCTATGAGAAATCATTCTCTCCAAAATTTTCACTTATAATATTACAAACAAAATTCCGGTGAGTATATCTACACGTAAAATTAGTAAGAATCATTATATCCACATACATTTATTTTTGAAATCGTAATTAAAGCACCCATGAGTATATATATGCACACAAAGTTTACTTATAAATAAGAATCATTCTCTCCATCACTTTTGCTTCGAAGATCATAATCAAGATTATTTATGAGTATATATACACACACAAAATGGGCTTTAAAAGAGTCATTCTCACTATATTTTTTTACTTACGAGATTATCATTAGAGATCACACGAATATTTATATATATACAAAATATAAGTTTTTAAGAAATCCATCTCCAAACCTTTCTCTCTTCCATGTAATTAGGATTCCAATGAGTATATATATACAAAGTCGACATTTGAAAAATCATTATCCCTGTCTCTTTGTCTTCACAATCAGGGCTCGTTCGAGTATCCCTATCTCTTGTGATATCATGAGAAGTCATACTCTTCTCATATCACACTTAGGGCTCCCATAAATATATACAGAGACAAGATTGGAATCATTCTCCCTATTTTGCTTTATAGACCAATTACGGAGAGATCTTGCTAACCATCTTTCTTACTTTTTAAGAACATATGAAAAATATGCTTAAGAACATATGAGAAATCATTATCCTAATAGTTTTTTGCTTCTGAGACTATAATCAGGCCTCCCTTGTATATATATACACACAAAAATCGATTTATCAAAAATCATTCAAACAATTTTTTTTTTGCATTCGATTTCAATATCAGGACTCTCTTGAGCATACCTAAATATAATATGAGCTTATGAGTAGACATCCTCTTAAATTTTTCTTGCTTCTAAGATTGCAAACATAGCTTCTATACATACACATAAAACCAACATATGAAGAATCATTCTCTCCCCTCCTGTTGGTACTTTTAAGATTACAACCAAAGCTCCAGTAATAATGGCATAACATTCAAATATCCACATGTCCTAAAGCATAGATGTAAATAGATCAAAATTTCCTTAAGCAAAGTTCCAATAATAAAGTAGATACCTGTGTCAGATTTAAATATCTAGATAAATTTAATTGAAACCCATTGCTATGATCCACCGTCACTCTCAAAGAACGTCATATGTCATCTTCCAGGTGATTAAAAAACACAAGAAGCTACCTCCCAGAAACTATCTTATCAACAGCAGACACCTCGAATCTTGGCAAAATCATGCTGGCATTTGATGATTCTTGGCACAGGCATGACCATCAACCATCAGTCCACTCACCACACGCCATCCGCTTGCAGAAACTGATTTCAATACCTACCTCCGACAGATATATTAACGATCCAGATATACTAGTGAAGATAATACCTGCTAATAAGTTACAAGAATGAATTCTATGCCCATGTGTAAGTAATTTGAGTGTCATGCCCACCATCACCTGTAGCTCCCTTATGCTCAAACCTCTTAATTAGTAACTCATGGCTTCCTCCAAAAGACTACAATGCCAGAAGATGGTGATACCATTTTGAGTCATCTACCAAACAACAATCAAGCACCCACGGCTGCATCAAATGTTTCCGAAGGTGCAGCAGGTGCTTCGGTTCAGCTTGCTCGCCGCACTATCAGCCTGAGAAACAATCTTCGAATCTGTAAATCCTGCTTCTTCAAAGATTTCTGCTCTTCTAGAAATCAAGGAGTTGCGCTGTACAACGTCAATCCCATCATATGTCCAAACACCCAAAACTGCCTCTCCTTTCAGTCCAATAGCACACCAACCAAGACCAGCAACTGCTATATCAACAGAACTTGCATCCCAACTGTTCCCGCTAACATTAATTTCCTTCCTCACCCATTTGCCAAGTTCATTGATGCGCTCCTCACCGATAGGAGGCTGCAGTTGTGATATATGAGATCGCTAGGCCCTCCAAATAACCAACTGAACATCAACTAGGAAGACATTACTTAATTTGGGTAAGAAACACACATACCTGTAGTTGTCGACCAAAATGATGTTCTATCATTATGGATGCCTTCTCTGTTTTGCCCATATGCAGTGGAATAAGTGGTGACGCCCATACGGTAAGATAGATCGAGTCTACAGATAATTCCTCAACATCTACCCTGAAGAGTCCACCAATATGAACAGAATGTCGTGCCTGTTGACAAGAGTGAAAGAATAAGATGAACAGAATTAATTGTCAAAGAAACTAGCATTTTAGAAGCCAGAAGGATACAAAAGCAAAGAATCACTTATCCGACATCCATGCATGTCCAGTATACAGGCTTTTTTTTAAATGCAGCTGGAGAAAGAAAAAACATCTAGTGCCAAGAAAATGCAAAAAAATACAAGAGTCTCCCTTTTCTCAAAAATTGGGAGGGCTGGAATTGAGAAGTGCAGAAGTAATCAAGTGCAGAAGTAATCAAGAATCAGTTAGCTTTCATTTAGATTTAGCTCTACTTTCACAAGAACACAAATCAGTCAACCATATCAAACAACTATATCTGTGAACCAACAAATAACCTACCTAGGTCTTCATCCAACTTTTCCATCCTTATCCATTGTAAAACAAAATTAGAATCATCTTGAACTATTTAACCACCATGAATTCAGCAAGGGATCTCCACTGCACCAACTATTTAACCAGTAAACAATTGCTTCATCATTATACCAGTAAGACAACCTCCATATAGAGGCACCATATCATTAGCCAAGTCCAATTTAAATAACATTCCCATAAACCCTGGAACACAGTTTCGATTTACTGGTGAAAAACACTAAGACAGTCTTATTTCATTGTAGAAATACCATCCACTTTCAGGATGTATAGAATAACATCATTTAATTGAACTATCAACTGTCTTCCCTCATAAGCCTATTAATACTGCCACTTGCTACCTAGTGTTGTCTTAACATAGCCTGTTCTAATACTGCCATTTTCAAAAATATCCTTGTTATTAAGTTCACTATCATGTGCCAATTTTGTCTTCTTTTAACAAAGAATATGCAAACTTCAGGAACAATATAATACAAAGTTGGGGAACATTTCATTGACATCAGGAAAGTAAGTTCCAAGCACCTAATAGCCATTTCCTGCACAATATGTGCCACATCAATTCTGATATCTATCTAGATTAATTCTTCAGATATATATCCACCACAAGTGTCTGACTGAAAAATTATCAATTGACATTTTACCACTTGACTTTTTTTAGTACAAACTTATTGGAAATAACTAAAAAAAAAAATCATCCAGAGTATTGAAAGTGTGAAATCATCTATGATCCTCTCTACTCCCTAAGAGCTTAAAATGTAATTTGGAAAAATAGCTCATAACCTGTGTTTCCATGATTCAGATTATCCAATTATGCTCCTAAACTATACTGATAACCTTTATTAGCTATGACCATATTCTTGGAAACAACCTCATATTAATTCCTTTTACGCCAGGCATTTCTAGATGTCATAGATAACCAAGGAAAACAGACCCACACAGTCATGGATCATTAAATTGTTAATTCATCAAATAGCTGTGGTGGACATACCCCAGAATTAGATCAACTCAAACTTTCAACCACTTATTTAGATTTCATCCAAAATTACATCAATCAACTACGTTATTGCATCTCCAATTTTCAGTTTTCAACAATAAGATCGCTACCAGGCTGCAGCCCTAAATTCACACATTTTTTCCTCCTTGAGTATGAACTTCCGTTTCTTTAATTAGATGAGAGTGTTTCATTTATTAGTCTTATGCACCCTTGCTATGATGACTAAGAATGTGAATTCTCAACGTTTCCCACCCAGCAATCAACATTTAGCTTGAGAAAGCATAGCCAACTATTTAAGCCTTAGAATCAAAGAACCATGAAACAGTGCAGAAAACTTTGGCACCAAAGAGAAACAACCAGCAGGCTGTATCTTTCTAGAACACAGTACAGATAATATTTCTAACTGAAATGATGAAAATCCATAAGCAAAGAGATATCCAGAACTCTAGTG